TATTTATAATAACGCTAATAATAACTACCATTTTAAACAAGGTCATTACTATTTTAGTTCAAACTGTCAGACTGAACCCACCCGTCCCTGACTTTTCATCCTGATCATTCGTCTCAAACTTTTGTCCAGCGTTAAGACTCTTCAATTTGTGATTCTCTAGAAAAAAACATCAGTAGTAGGCACCGTAAGTGGCCTCCAAGTTAGTTTTGAAAACATTTTTGTCGGCGCAAATAATGACTTAAATTTCGCAATAAATCGCTTGGAGACTTAAATTTCGCAATAAATCGCTCTCCAGGACAGTATAGATTACCTCAAAAACGATGCGGTCATCTCAGATGCCGAAAAGTTTGCCCGGCTCTCACACGAAGTGAGGGAAAATTCCTCCATGGAGGACTAAAAAAACAAGTTGAAAAAACTTTAAACAGGGAAAGACCACTTCTTAAATTCAATTCTGCGGCATTAAATCTCCTTTTTTATAACAGCAACTCGAGTAACTCGGGATTGCAATCGCAGGTGGACCTAGAGGAGTCCAAAGACGTTTTGCCTTCTGGACATCTCATGACACGGAGAAACAATAGAAGTCATCCCCGCGCCTCATCAAATGGAGCTTTTATTGGGCCATCGAGTAAGTTTAATCAAATAATTTTTCCCTGCTGGGATTTTGCAATATTACGGGTTCAAATAGTACAATTCTTTTTTTAGAGAACAGTGGTAAAAGCAAGAAGAAAGCTGTTAAATCGGTGAAGCTGGTGTTCAAAGAAGCGGATGCCTCTGAGGAGGGGTCCATTGCGGCAAGAATGAGGCAAGTAACATCGAAGCGTGAGGCAGTGACAGTGGCACAACAGGCTTCTTCGAGCGCACCAGTTGAAGATAGAAAGCTGGAAGCAGACCCAGAGGCATTGGCTGTAAATCCCTTGGCACAACAGTCTTCTTCCAGCGCAACACTTGAAGACAAAGAGCTAGACGCAGACCCAGAGGCAGTGACAGTGAATCAAGAGGTACAACAGGATACTTTGAGCACACCACTTGAAGACAGAGAGCAGGAGGCAGACCCAGCGGCAGTGACTATGAAACCAGAGGCACAATTGGCTTTTTCGAGCGCACCACTTCAAGACAGAGGGATGGACGCAGAGACGAAACCAGCAGTCGTCGAAGTGTCCATTTTTCAACAAGAAAGTGCTAAAAAGCACAAGGTCATCATATCAACAAGATCTAAGTTCAAGAAATCCAAAGAGGCCAAAAAGTCCACGAAAGATGATAGAGAGGAGGGAAAGATTTCTGATTAGTCATAATCATTGAGTCGTTAATCTTTCTGTTTCTATGTATTTGAAGTGAAGATAATCAAGGTGTCTAAAATCTTTGTATTTTAATTCAACCTAGTGTTTTCATAGAATTGTTTTTTCTTTTCTCAAAGATGTTCGACGGAAAATTGTTAGCTAAGGAAAGAAAAAATAGGTAAAAGAAGCGATTTTATGCAGCGCTTTATTCTGTACATATGTTCATCTATTCTATCTCATTAACTATCTATCTCTCCTTTTAACTATTTTTTGCTCGTTCTATTTATCTATTTTTCGGGTCTCCTTGTTTTACCCAACTCTTTGTTTGTCTTTCTATTTATCTTGAATTTTTTCAACTAATTTATTTATCCATCTTATGATCTATCTTTTTCATCTATGTTTTCATCTGTCTCTAATCTTTCTTTTCAAATGATCTTTTTCACGTTTATTCAAATTTCCTGCTTTATTTTTTTCTATCTGAATATTTTATCATATTACGTAATTTTTCGCCTGTTTTTGAACAATCTGTAATTTAATTTTCAAAACATCCTTATAATCTAACTTTTAGAACATGTTTTAGTTTATTTCTTTTCAACAATTTTTTTTATTGAATTAAATTATCTTTTTGTCTGTCATTTTTCAATTTAGTTTTCACCTAACTTTCTGTCTTTTCGATCTGTCTTATCATTTTTTTTCAATCTAGCTTTTCCGTCTATCTTTTCAATCTATCTTTTCAATCTATCTTTTCAATCTATCTTTTCGAATCTAAATTTTTAGTTTATCTTTTCATTTAACTTTTCAATTTATCTGTTGTATCTACTTGTTTCGTCTATCTTTCTATCATGTTACTAGTTTTTTTTATAGTTTGTCTGTTTTATCTATCTTTTTAAGGCATCTTTCTGATCTCCTTTTTATCTTTTTAAATTTTTTTGATCTCTTCTTTATCTTCTTTGAACTTTTTAGTCTTTCTTTTCATCAAACTTTTTTCACACTATTAATTTTCTTAACTATCATGCACGCCATTTTTTTGTATCAATCTTTAAGTTCAACTTTTTCCACACTTTTCTCTCTATTTTTAAAATTTTCTCACCAAACTTTTTTTATCCATTTTTAAAAATATTTTTAGCTGTATATTTAAACTATCATTTGAAACTTCTTTTTTAGTTTGTCTCTTTCGCTCTTTTTATTCAGTAATTTTAAAATTTTCATTGAATTTTTTATCGTTCTTTTAAAAAGTTTTTCTTTTTCAGCTTGAGTGATCTCCTTCGTAAACTCAAAGAATTATTTCATAGATCTAGATCTCAATTCATCTACATATTTGAAGTCTTTAACCAACCAATGATATCGTCACTTACGAATTTGTATCAAGTCAGCCAAATCAGCCTTTTTAAACTTCATTTGAATTCAGTTCCGGCGATTGTCTCATTACTTTGAAACCTGTATAAAAGTTGGTTTGAAATTGTACACTCTTAAAAATTTTCTTGAATGCTCCTCTAAAATTTTGAAAAAAAAAATCAATTATTTAAATCTCATTTCATCACTTTCTTTGAAGTCTTCCCATTCAATGAGATAATCACATGGGACTGTTCGCTCGAAATTGATTCAATTCAATGTAATTATGATCGATTTCAGATCCGATAGTTCTTTCATCTCATTGAACTTTATAAAAAATGTACTTTGATACCTCATTATGTCCTCTCTTGAAAAACAGCTTGTTTTTTTCTTTGAACTCTGAATTAATTCAAAGAATTAGATCTTTTTTCATCTATATATTCAAAGTTTTTTTTACCAAGCAATGCTGTCATCACTTACGAATCTGTATTAAGTCTAAAGCCAATTGGGCCTTTTTAAGCTTCTTTTGAATTCAGTTCTGGTGGTTGTCTCCTTACATAGAAACTTGTATAAAAGTTGGTTTGATATCTCAAGTTGTCCACTCTTGAAAAATTTCTTGATTGTTCTATCCAAAAAACTTCAAATAAAATGCTGATAATGCAAATAAAATTTTAATCTTTAAAATTTTTCAAGTTTTTGGAAAGAACATTCTAGAAATTTTTCAAGAGTGGACAATTTGATATCAAACCAACTTTTTTTTACAAGTTTCAATGTAAGGAGACAATCACCGGAATTGGTATTGTAAAAGTTAAGTTGAAGGATAATGAGGTAGATGAAAAGGTAACATTTTCCAAGTTTTATGTTTGATCTCTAAATCAGTTATCCATACTTTGAAAAGAAATGAGAAAATTACTTGGTATGTTACTTGATTAGTGGAACAAGTAATGAATTCATTGAAACAGTTTTCCAAAAATATTGAATGATTCGGTTTAAAGCATTTTTTTGAATTTTTTCAAACGTACATCGAAACAGTTTGGAAGAAGGTGGCAAATAGATCAACAATTTAGAAGAAGATAACCTTAATAGCAAAATCTGAACTCTAAGCTGGCGGCCATAACGTTTTTCTTTTTCATTTAAGCTTTTAAACATGTCTGAATTTTTGTTTTGAGTTGTTTTGGCAGTCATTTGAAAATGCTTAAAATAATATTTTGTTTAAAAATGCAGCTTTAGCTGCGCCGGGTAGCTAGTTTTAATTAAGCGTCCGCGGCTGAGTAGTTGATGCGTGAGACTCATAATTTCCAGGTCGCAGTAGGTAGTTGGTTCGAATTCGAGATGTAGCAGAATTTTTACTAATTCGAGGCTTATTTCGACTTTTTCTTTTTGCTCTTTATAGCGCTACTTTTTGTCGTGTTTTTACTAGGTATAGGTAATTTTTCTCTGTTGAAAAATTACCTATACCATAGTAAACAATTGTCCGCATCGGCCAAATATACTCCGAAGCTTCACCTGTTTTTTAATGAACACGAAGGTCCATTGTCGGGCCTTATGGTGATTCTTTACATTAATGAATCGCCCGAGTTTTAAGTGGTAACCCGCACGTTCTTTTTATAAAAATTAGACATTTAGGCTGCGAAGTTTTTACATGTTTGTGTAGATCTCATCACACCATGGACACAGTGACACTGAAACGAAGAAAAAAGAAAATGTTTTTTGAATATGGTCGGAAAATTCTTCGCTTCTTGCACAGCAACCGTGCAATTTTTAATTCCTGTGCATTGCCTTTACCATCATTTTTTCAAGTTAATTGATTTTCAGCTGCTTTTTTATCCGTGATTGTTTGGGATAATCAATTTTAGCCTCCTAATTGTCTGGGATTCTGAAAAACAATCGTTGTTAGGCTCGAAATTATTTTTTGGAAAACTTCCGCTTAGTTACTGTGTGGTGTTTCGCTTGTTGCATAGTATGATGGTCTTACTTGAACAAGTTGTATGGATACCTAAATTGTCAAAATAATCTTATGCCTTTGACTAATTTTGACCCTCAAAACTGACATTTTAAAAAATATATCAGTTTAGAAAAACTGATTTCTTTTTCAATTTAATTTTTTTTATTGATTGCTGAACAATCGCGGGAGCAGCTTCTATTCAAGATGCTAAACCTAATTTTACTTTTTTGGTTGCTGCCTTTCTACATGTAGCCAGATTTCAGTCTTTGGTTTTTGCGAGGATATGCAAAGTGTTGCTTCGCGTTTGGGTTTTAGTTAGATACTTAGATAAAATAATTAATAATTGGAGTTTCTGTGAATCACTGAGGCTCTATGAAAGGCTATCATGCTTGTCAAGCAGTTTGTTTATCTTTTCTAAGCAGCTCTGATATGTATTGTTTTTGCAGTCAGTCGCCGCCTCAGCCTCACATATCGGTGCCTGTGCTGCTTCTTGTTACAGTCGTCTTCCTCAAACTCATCTCCTATAAACAGGTAGCTGCCCGTCTTGCTGAATTTAAACACAAATTCAGTCCTCTAAGCTTTTTTTACCGGCCTGTACGTATATGAATGGCTACTACTTCTACCAAAAAGATCGAAAACAACATAACTGCCACCGCGTAATTGAACAATAAATCATCTGAACTCGAAAACAGACGGTAACTTCTGAACTGATAACTTAAGATTCTGAAATGAATATTTGCATCATAGGCTTACCGAGTATAAGCAAAGTTCCGCCCAGCTTTCTTGTTCTACAAGTGGTTTTAGTTTTTTGGCGATTTGTCAAGTATGGATACAGCAAATTAGAAATATGTGAAAGCTTAGTGACGTGACTTGAAGACATTGTTTTTTAAGGTGAACTCGGCGCTAAGATGTCAGCTTATGAAGAAAAAATCAGTCGAGCGAAATGAGACGGATACGAAAGCACTTGAAAATGGAGGAAATAATAGCGTTTCAATAACAGAGAGCGATGATTTGAATGGAAAAACGCCACAACAGGTAAAGAGCACAAGGTTTAAAGACCAGGAATCTTAAAAACCACAAATCATTGATTCGACTTTTTTCAGGATAGCAAACTTCAAGCGCTGCTAAAACTTTACAATGATCATTTTTTGTCAAATTTTCTACGCTGCACGCGAGTTTTTGGATGAAAATTGCGTCGCTGATCACTTTTCGAAAGTTGCTTCGGAAAATTGTGTTTTTTTTTGGAGCGGACCCTTAGGCGATAATATGTGAATAATTATGTAATGATGACGTTAAATGCTCATTGTTTTTTAAACAAAAAAGTCGAAATGCTTTTATGTTTCTAGGCGACAGCAGAAAGGAAAGAGCAAATAACAGAGACGCAAAATGACGCTCGGAAGTTGATGTATCCCGAAAATCTGACCATTAGAAACATGTATTACTTCTTAATATGTCCGACTCTTTGCTATGAACTTGAGTACCCCTTGCCACTCCCTGTGCGAGTAATAACATCGGAATCGGAGGTTTCGGACAGCAGCGATGAGAGTGAAATTAAGGTGAAGACGTTTTTGTTTAATAAATCAATTTAAACAAGAAGAATTTCAAATCTTTCAAGTGTTAGCTTTTAGTTGGTATTGCAACCGAGTGCTTGACTTTTTCCCGTAAGTAAAATTGTTCAGAGGATGACTCAAGTTGGTGGTCATCTCCAAATCTGTTTTTTCTTGCTCAGTTTTGAGCATGTCTGCATTTTAAATTTACGTTGTTTCATTCAAAATGTGTTTTATGTTGGTTTTAAATTTACCAAATTTGATTTCGGTATATCAGTTTTTTCTCTTTTATCCTTTATTTGGCTTGAAAGATTTCGGCTTACATGATATCGTCTAAGTACTTTCATTTAGAGACGTTTGGTTGGCAAAAGAAGGTTTTTAATCTAATTGTTGAAAATTTGGGGGGTCTATTTTTTTGTTTTTCCAGCTAAACGTATGTCTGCTCAGGTATTGTCGGATTTTTTGCCGCTTTTATTTTTTATTTCGTTGCTCAGTTAGCATTCAATTGTCTCATTTGGCATGTTTTTTAGCAGGAACTTTATTTAAGACAAAATCAAGACAGTGAAAATTACGGTTGATCAATTTTTTCGACATTTTTCAAAATGCAATTTGCTGCGGCTTTCATCTTTCTGTCGGCTAGTTTGCCATGCTATATTTGTGTTTTATCCCAGGTGCTGCGAAGCCTCGCTTCGCCTATGTGTAGAAATGTTTATTGTGTTGAAATTTAATTTTGAAGTAATATGACGGAGGATGTTAACTTGGCTCTGAGTTGGAATATTCAACCAATCAGAATTGAGGATCTTAACTTGATACTTTTCTATTTTGAAGGTCAATGGCGTTGTTGTTTCGCAAAAAGAGAAAGAAGCATTGGGAAAAAGACAGTGGCGTATCCATTGGTGGTTTCTGGGACGACGTGTCTTAGAGGCAGTGTCTTTATCTCTCGTTATTTTGGCCTTCTTCCAACAATGGATTATGCCTGCACTGATAAACTCAAACGAGTTATTTTTGGTAAGCGTTTGCTAATGATGGTTAAAAAAGCCTCTGCCACCTCTAACATTGTTATAGGTTTAATGTTTAGTTAATGACAAATTGTTGGCAACTTAATTGATGGCACTGAAACATATAGCGCGCACCAAATACGTTTAATGGTAGATAGTGCTTATGCACTCCCTCATTGATTCGACCACTCACCGCAGAAGCACCCCTTCTTTGGTAGCTTTTTATGATATTCAAATTTTGCTGACCAACTTTAAAGATTTCTTGGGCGCCATTATATACTTATTGATTGGTCGCTAATAATTTTTGACCCAAACCTACCAAGAATTACCAAAAATGAGAAGTTTTTAAGTGTTTATGAATTGTCACTTTGTATGTAAATTTTTTTCGTTCAGGTTCATTGAACGAAATTATACATAATTGTCAACAAATTGAAGTTAACTCTAATTATGGTTCCTTTTTAGAACGGTTGAAGCAAGTGAGTGTTCATGATAGTTGCACGTACTTACTTTTCTGTTTGCTATTCTCCTATCGTCACAAAGTTCTGCAGCTTCAGTTGTTTCTGTCCTGGTTTTTTGCATGTATTTTCATTCAGATTAACTCATTTTGATGACCAGTCCAAGTACTAGTGCTGGCTTTTTGTCTTTATCTAAATGCATAAAAATTTCTCCGTAAATGTTTGGTGACTGGTGGATGGGTGACGAGGATCCAGTTAACATATTTTCCTTTCCAGACCCCTTCTACTGATCTTCCACCCCAGAGTGTTTTATTTGGGTTAACCGCTGCAGGCAAAATGCTGGATTCTGATTAACTGAATATTCCAACTAACTAAGAGTTAAGAATCATGTTAACATTCTCCCCTTAAACGGATTTAGGGATGGAGAGGGGGGGGGGGGGTTGATGTTAACTTAGTCGGATGATGAGCTCGTTGAGTTTAAAAAAGCTTCTGTGTGCTGACTTTTACCATTGTTTATCCCTTTACTGCTTTTGTTCATGTGGTGCAAAATTTATTTAAAAAAAACTGTACAACCTTACACAACCGAATGTTAGTATTTCGTTTGCTGACCTGCTAGAATTTTTGCCGTGCAACGTTTAATGAACGAAGTAACAATTGTCTGAGCCATTTATTACGCTGGCGATTATATTAAATGTTTTTTTTTATGCTGAAAATCTTTTCGATTTTTGTGTGCCTCTCCAGCTTTAAGTTAACCTTTTTCCATGGTCTATCTAAAAGAACAAACAGACGACAGTTTCTGCGTTATTGTGTAAGGAGCATGTGTGTTATATCCGATAAGTTTGGGCGCAGTCTTTGCTGCCTGGTATTTACAAAAAATTAAATAGAGAAATTTTTCTTCTTGTTTAAGATCCAGTGGTATAGTTGCATATAGTATTTGGTTGGAAAGCGGTATGGCGCCAGTTCGATATTGCAGTGTGCTTATTAAGTGTAAAAGAACAAAAAGGTTTTGACTTATAAAGGTCGAGATGATTTTGATTATTTTTAAGGCAGTAGTCTCCTAGTTCTACAGAAGTACTTTCATATATATTAATGCATTTATGAAAGCACTTGGTTTTATATGCACTTTTTGAGTTCAATCCAATTGCATCCGCTTAAAGTTAGGTAAATTGCGCGTTCACCAATTACGAATGCGAAATTGGCCCACGAAAAACGTGGACGACTTCCAGTTTCGAAAATGCATATTAGAAAGTGCTTGATCTAAAATCAGATACTGGGTTGTAGTTTTGACTTCTTTGTACACTAGCCAACTTTAGTGAACGTTAGTGTAATAGTACGTAGTACGACTATTCTTTTTTTTCCAATCTAAGTCGCAAATATTGGTGCCACTTTTGGTGTCAGTTTCACGGCTTTTTGATAGCATGTGCTTTCACAGTCCAATAGCAATAAGTTAACATAGTTGATGCATTTTTAATTTTCCAATAAACCGAAAAAAGCTCTTTGTTTCAAGCAACATAACATTAATAGAAACTCGATTTCAGAAATTTTGTTACTGAATATATCTCGCAATTTTTTGAAATGCAATATTTATTACGCTTGCGATTAGCAAGCGTTATCAAACTGGAATATAGACTTTTTTTAGTTATCAACTAGTTTATCAACATCAGTTGAATTTATTTGCTGACCATGCAGCTGTCTTCTTTTCAATTGTCTTCTCTTTACATCTTCCCGGATGTTTCCCCCTTCGCCTGGAGGTGATTCAGTTGCCTTTGTGCCTTAAGGTCTGGATTTCAAGTCGTGGCCGGAGCTTCTTTTTTCAGTATCAAGGAAATTGAAAAAAAAAACGAGAAAAATGAATTGTTGGTTTATCGTTTGTTCGCTCAAGTTTTGTCGGCTAAATTGCCACAACGGATTTTGCTTGTGCTTTGGACAATTTTAATTGTAAATGCAAGTGCAAGTGTTGTTCATTCTAATTTCAGGGCGATTGGAAAGATTTTTTAAAAAAATTCATAAAAGCTTTTTTATGGTTCAGTTGGTGTCTGCTCAAATATTGCCGTAAGTTTTTTCAATTGTAGTTGCAAGTGCAAATGCTGTTCATTCTAGTTTCATTAAAGTTCAATCATTTTTTTCGGTTCAAGTAGTTTCAGCTCAAAGATTGTTGGTTTATTGCCACATCACTGATTTTTCTTGTGCTGTAAACAACTTTCATTGTAGTTGCAAATACAAATGTTGTCTTGTTGTTTAAGGTGGGACTTTGTTCTTTACCGTGGAACGTTTTTCTATAAAATCATATTTTTTTCGGCTCAAATTGTGTCTGCTCAAAGATTGTCGGCTGTTTCTTTTCGTAAATTTTGTTCCGTTGTCGCTGTTTTGAAATTCAAGTGTCTGGCATGTTTGCCTGGAATGAACTTCTATCGAGTCATGAAAGTGTTTATGACCTAGTTTTTTTCAATATTTTCAATTTCAAAGTTTTTAATCTAATTGTTAAAAATTTGGGGGGTCTAATTTTTTTTCCAGCTAAACGTATGTCTGCTCAGGTATTGTCGGCTTTGTTACCGCTTTCATTTTTATTTCGTTGCTCAGTTAGCATTCAATTGTCTCATTTGGCATGTTTTTTAGCAGGAACTTTTTTTAAGACAAAATCAAGACAAAGTGAAAATTCCGGTTGATCAATTTTTTCGACATTTTTCAAAATGCAATTTTCTGCGGCTTTCATCTTTCTGTCGGCTAGTTTGCCATGCTATATATGTGTTTTATCTCAGGTGCTGCGAAGCTTCGCTTCGCCAATGTGTAGAAATGTTTGTGTTGAAATTTAATTTTGAAGTAAAATGGCGGAGGATGTTAACTTGGCTCTGAGTTGGAATATTCAGCCAATCAGAATTGAGGATGTGAACTTGATCCTTTTCTATTTTCAAGGTCAATGGCGTTGTTGTTTCGCAAAAAGAGAAAGAAGAATTGGGAAAAAGACAGTGGCGTATCCATTGGTGGTTTCTGGGACGACGTGTCTTAGAGACAGTATCTTTAACTCTCGTTATTTTGGCCTTCTTCCAACAATGGATTATGCTTGCACTGATAAACTCAAACGAGTTATTTTTTGGTAAGGGTTTGCTAATGATGGTTAATAAAGCCTCTGCCACTAACTTTGTTATAGGTTTAATGTTTAGTTAATGACAAATTGTTGGCAACTTAATTGTTGGCACTGAAACATATAGCGGGCACCAAATACATTCAATGGTAGATTGTGCTGATGCGCTACCTCATTGATTCGACCACTCACCGCAGAAGCCTCCCTTCTTTGGTAGCATTTTTTGATATTCAATTTTTGCTGACCAACTTTAAAGATTTCTTGCCATTATATACTAATTTTGATTGGTCGCTACCAATTTTTGACCCAAACCTACCAAGAATTCCCAAAAATGAGCCGTTTTTAAGTGTTTATGAATTGTCACTTTGTATGTTAATTTTTTTCGTTCAGGTTCGTTGAACGAAATTATACATAATTGTCAACAAATTGGAGTTAACTCTAATTATGGTTCCTTTTTAGATCGGTTGAAGCAAGTGAATGTTCATGATAGTTGCACGCACTTACTTTTCTGTGTGCAATTCTCCTATCGTCACAAAGTTCTGCATTTTCAGTTGTTTCTGTCCTGGTTTTTTGCATGTATTTTCATTCAGATTAACTCATTTTGATGACCAGTCCAAGTACAGTGCTGATTTAAATCATCCGGACAAAACGAACAAAACTTGAATTTTCAAACGCGTTTTTCTCAAATTGGGTTAACATTAGACAAAAAGTGAAGAGAACAAAAGTTGCTTAGAATTTCATCAAAGTTAACATGGTGCTATTTTTTCTCCGAAATTCTCAACCAAAATTTTACCACAAAAATTGGTCATTTCGGCTTTTTTCAATTAATCAAGAATTACACTGAAACTACTTTGTTAATTGATAAAAAAATTACATCACAAGAAGCCTCCTACATAGCCCAACAAAGTTTAACAAGGGTTAAATCTCCAAAAAATGCGCAAATTGTTTAAAATTTGTTTTTAAACAGAGATTCTGGGTTTTATATAGTAAAAATCACATTTATTGACTATCAAGTAAAAACTTTTTCTCTTATACTGGTTTTTGGAGATTTAACCTTTGTTAAACTTTGTTGGGCTATGTAAGAGGCTTCTTGTGATAAAATTTTTTTATCAATTAACAAAGTAGTTTCAGTGTAATTCTTGATGAATTGAAAAAAGCCAAAATGACCCATTTTTGTGGTAAAATTTTGGTTGAGAGTTTCGGAGAAAAAATAGCACCATATTAATTTTGATGAAATTCTAAGCAACTTTTGTTCTCTTCACTTTTTGTCTAATCTTAACCCAATTTGAGAAAAACGTGTTTGAAAATTCAAGTTTTGTTCGTTTTGTCCGGATAATTTAAATCAGCACTGTACTAGTGCTGGCTTTTTGTCTTTATCTAAATGCATAAAAATTTCTCCGTAAATGTTTGGTGACTGGTGGATGGTTGACGAGGATCCAGTTAACATATTTTCCTTTCCAGACCCCTTCTACTGATCTTCCACCCCAGAGTGTTTTATTTGGGTTAACAGCTGCGGGCAAAATGCTGGATTCAGGTTTACTAAATATATCAACAAAGTAAGAGTTAAGAATCATGTTAACATTCTCCCCTTAAACAGATTTAGGGATGGAGAGGGGCGGGGGCGGGTTGATGTTAACTTAGTCGGATGATGAGCTCGTTTAGTTTAAAAATAATTTTGTGTGCTGACTTTTACCATTGTTTATCCCTTTACTGCTTTTGTTCATTTGGTGCAAAATTTATAAAAAAAACTGTACAACCTTACACAACCGAATGTTTGTATTTCGTTTGCTGACCTGCTAGAATTTTTGCCGTGCAACGTTTAATGAACGAAGTAACAATTGTCTGAGCCATTTATTACGCTGGCGATTATATTAAATGTTTTTTTTTTTGCTGAAAATCTTTTCGATTTTTGTGTGCCTTTCCAGCTTTAAGTTAACCTTTTTTCATGGTCTATCTAAAAGAACAAACAGACGACAATTTCTGCGTTATTGTGTAAGGAGCATGTGTGTTATATCCGATAAGTTTGGGCGCAGTCTTTGCTGCCTGGTATTTACAAAATAATGAAATAGAGAAATTTTTCTTCTTATATAAGATCCAGTGGTATAGTTGCAGATAGTATTTGGTTGAAAAGCGGTATGGCGCCAGTTCGATATTGCAGTGTGCTTATTAAGTGTAAAAGAACAAAAAGGTTTTGACTTATAAAGGTCGAGATGATTTTGATTATTTTTTAGGCAGTAGTCTCCTAGTTCTACAGAAGTACTTTCATATATATTAATGCATTTATAAAAGCACTTGGTTATATATGTACTTTTTGAGTTCAATCCAATTGCATCCGCTTAAAGTTAGGTAAATTGCGCGTTCACCAGTTACGAATACGAAGTTGGCCCACGAAAAACGTGGACGACTTCCAGTTTCGAAAATGCATATTCGAAAGTGCTTGATCTAAAATCAGATACTGGGGCAGTAGTCTCCTAGTTCTACAGAAGTACTTTCATATATATTAATGCATTTATAAAAGCACTTGGTTATATATGTACTTTTTGAGTTCAATCCAATTGCATCCGCTTAAAGTAAGGTAAATTGCGCGTTCACCAGTTACGAATACGAAGTTGGCCCACGAAAAACGTGGACGACTTCCAGTTTCGAAAATGCATATTAGAAAGTGCTTGATCTAAAATCAGATACTGGGTTGTAGTTTTGACTTTTTTGTACACTAGCCAACTTTAGTGAACGTTAGTGTAATAGTACGTTGTACGACTATTCTTTTTTTTCCAATCTAAGTCGCAAATATTGGTGCCACTTTTGGTGTCATTTTCACGGCTTTTTGATAGCATGTGCTTTCACAGTCCAATAGCAATAAGATAACATAGTTGATGAATTTTTAATTTTCAAATAAACCGAAAAAAGCTCTTTGTTTCAAGCAACATAACATTAATAGAAACTCGATTTCAGAAATTTTGTTACTGAATATATCTCGCAATTTTTTGAAATGCAATATTTATTACGCTTGCGATTGGCAAGCGTTATCAAACTGGAATATAGACTTTTTTTAGTTATCAACTAGTTTATCAACATCTTAACATCTTCCCGGTTGTTTCCCCATTGGCCTGGAGGTGATTAAGTTGCCTTTGTGCCTTAAGGTCTGGATTTCAAGTCGTGGCCGGAGCTTGTTTTTTCAGTATCAAGGAAATTGAAAAAAAAACGAGAAAAATGAATTGTTGGTTTTTCGTTTGTTCGCTTAAGTTTCGTCGGCTAAAGTGCCACAACGGATTTTGCTTGTGCTGTGGACAGTTTTAATTGTAAATGCAAGTGCAAGTGTTGTTCATTCTAATTTCAGGGCGATTTGAAAATTTTTTAAACAAATTCATAAAAGCTTTTTTATGGTTCAGTTGGTGTCTGCTCAAATATTGCCGTAAGTATTTTCAATTGTAGTTGCAAGTGCAAATGCTGTTCATTCTAGTTTCATTAAAGTTCAATCATTTTTTTCGGTTCAAAAAGTTTCAGCTCAAAGGTTGTTGGTTTAGTTGCCACATCACTGATTTTTCTTGTGCTGTAAACAACTTTCATTGTAGTTGCAAATGCAAATGTTGGCTTGTTGTTTAAGGTGGGACTTTGTTGTTTACCGTGGAACTTTTTTCTATAAAATCATATTTTTTTCGGCTCAAATTGTGTCTGCTCAAAGATTGTCGGCTGTTTCTTTTCGTAAGTTTTGTTCCGTTGTCGCTGTTTTGAAATTCAAGTGTCTGGCATGTTTGCCTGGAATGAACTTCTATCGAGACATGAAAGTGTTTATGACCTAGTTTTTTTTCAATATTTTCAATTTCAAGGTTTTTAATCTAATTGTTAAAAATTTGGGGGGTCTAATTTTTTTTCCAGCTAAACGTATGCTGGAAAAAAAAATTGTATGCAATTTGCGTTTCATGCTGGCCTTTTAGTAGGATGGAAAAGTACTAAGATTAAGTTGGGCTTATGCTCGGCCAATTTTTATTCGACCTCGCGGATAGCTACTATGGGTCAAGTCAGCTTTCAAATTAGATTTTTATGACCTAACTCGATTTTGAAAAAAAAATTTTAAGTTTCTATTGTCAAAAACAAACAATGAATATAGACTTTTTTTAGTTATCAACTAGTTTATCAACATCAGTTGAATTTATTTGCTGACCATGCAGCTGTCTTCTTTTCAATTTTTTTCTCTTAACATCTTCCCGGTTGTTTCCCCCTTGGCCTGGAGGTGATTCAGTTGCCTTTGTGCTTTAAGGCCTCGATTTCAAGTCGTGACCGGAGCTTGTTTTTTCAGTATCAAGGAAATTGAAAAAAAAACGAGAAAAATGAATTGTTGGTTTTTCGTTTGTTCGCTCAAGTTTCGTCGGCTAAATTGCCACAACGGATTTTGCTTGTGCTGTGGACAGTTTTAATTGTAAATGCAAGTGCAAGTGTTGTTCATTCTAATTTCAGGGCGATTTGAAAGATTTTTTTTTTTAAAATCATAAAAGCTTTTTTATGGTTCAGTTGGTGTCTGCTCAAATATTGCCGTAAGTATTTTCAATTGTAGTTGCAAGTGCAAATGCTGTTCATTCTAGTTTCATTAAAGTTCAATCATTTTTTTCGGTTCCAGTAGTTTCAGCTCAAAGATTGTTGGTCACTGATTTTTCTTGTGCTGTAAACAACTTTCATTGTAGTTGCAAATGCACATGTTGTCTTGTTGTTTAAGGTGGGACTTTGTTGTTTACCGTGGAACTTTTTTTTCTATAAAATCATATTTTTTGGGCTCAAATTGTGTCTGCTCAAAGATTGTCGGCTGTTTCTATTCGTAAATTTTGTACCGTTGTCGCTGTTTTGAAATTCAAGTGTCTGGCATGTTTGCCTGGAATGAACTCCTATCGAGACATGAAAGTGTTTATGACCTAGTTTTTTTCAATTTTTTACATGCTAAGTTAGGGTGGTGCTACTCGTCCCCTCTCCCTAAATCCGCCCCTGCTTAAATGTACACTTACTTCGACAGAAAATCATTTGAGTATAAGTGTTAAGTGGAACGATGGTTTTGTTTTTGGTATCGTGGAAAAACAACGGTGATGTTTTTTGAGTTTTTGCAGAAAAAGTGAGTTTTATCGTCAGTTTTTTTTCAAAATTTAAAGTATGGTGCCATTTGCTGAAATTTGAGCTATTAATAGTTCTATTTTCCTAAAACAGCTGAAATTTGCGATTTCTCAAAAAAGTTGAGACATGAAAATTTTTTAAATTAATTTTCAGCTCAAATCATTTACATTAGGGTCAGTAACTGTCAAAAAGTCATAATTGAGTATAGTATAGTGTTGAGTGGAAAATTTTGACTTGTTGACAGTTACTAATTTGTGCTTAAAATTTATTAAAAAACAGTTCATTTTCTTAATATTTCTGAGAACTACATTTTTTAAAATTCTACACATAAAATATAAATCATTTACAATTAGAAAACATTTGGCAATTTTTGAAATTTATACAAATCAATTTTTTGTACACAACCCTACTTTTCACTTTGCCGTAACAGGTTCAATACTCTGCCTTAAAACGTTGGGCTTTCTTAGTACATGGTAGGTACATTCCCTAACTCTTGATACACGGGATTTCTGCTCGCCGAAAACCTGAAACTAACCATCTGCATCCTTTTATGTTAATTCATGGCGAAACCTATTCCCTAACCTAATACATAGCCTGGAGATTGGATATATATTCCCTAAATTTATACACAGAGGTCTTCATGTACATTTTTAGCTCTAGACCAACATATACTACTTAAGTATAATATTGTCCCGATGATTTTATTTTTTTCTTTCTTTGCTATCGCGTGGTTTTTTTTCTGCGTCAGTGTTTCTGCGAGGATTAGTCATGTCTTTTAATAATGGCTTGTTTTGTGTGTTTGTGTGTAGACAATGGACTACATGCGTCTGGTGGAGAAGTTGCTGAAGTTGGCAGTGCCCAACCAGATCTTGTGGCTTCTCTTTTTCTACCTCTTCTTCCACTCCACACTAAATGCTCTAGCAGGTACACTCCAAACAATACGCCAATACGCAGTATTACCATCATAATGTTCAACAACCGCAACAAATTCCGATACAGAAAGCCCTAGCTTGATACAATATAAAAAAAGTAGCTCCATGACATGGTAGCAACAAATCTATTTGCCTTTTTTTTGCCAACAGTTCTGGCACTCACCAATAACGTCATTTTCAGCTTTTACTTCATATGTTTTCAAACAATACGCGTTATCAGCATCATCGAGAACCAATGTCGAAGAAGGGACTGAATGCCTGAATATTATGATAGCCAATCAGAATTTAGTGTTAAAAAAACTGAAGAAATAATCCGGGTAGTCTGTCAGTTTGGAACAAATTAAAGGACGTTCATTGGTTCAAGTTTTTGCTCAGTCTATCTTTCTGGGATGAAAATATCTTCTTCCAAAATACCACGATTTGTTTGCGCATACGGGAAATTCTATTCTAAAACAACGCAATAGAAGGGTGAAATTTAACAATCGTACTCAAAGCCGGAAATTGAATCTCAAATAGAGTCATGCAACTAGGTGAAACGAGTTTAGAAGGTTAATAGATAAAGGCAAACAGTAATTAACCTTGTGTTACCTAATTACATGCACTTGAAAAATTGACCTATACATTCACTTGAAAAATTGATGAAAGTAATCTTCTGAACTGCTTATAAGCTAATGCAATTGCAAAAGAGAGGGCAATTCCTTAGAAGGTACAAAATTCTTAAATGCTTAACAGTTGAAATAGTCCTTTAGAAATAGTGAAAACATTTAAACTAGGTATCTTTGAGGGGCAATAGTTAGCAATATCCATCCTAATCGTTAATGTAATCGAATAAAAGAAGATTTGATCAAAGTTTATCTAAAACTGATTGGACAGAATTTCAATTTTGAACGACTTAGTTTTTTGCTAGGGGATTTGAAATTGAAGAAGAGTCGATTTGTAATGTACAATCATATCATTATTGTCCTCCGGTGTTGGCACATTGTTCACTCGTTTCACGCATTTGTATAATAATGTCTAAGTATGTGTGCGTGTTGAGTAGAGGTGACTGGATTCGGAGACCGGGAGTTCTACCTGGACTGGTGGAACAGCCGGAACCAGGCGGAGTTCTGGCAGAAGTGGAACATCCCGGTGCACAAGTGGGGCAAGCGACACGTGTACAAGCCACTGCTTCAGAGAGGTAGTGGCTTACTACTTACCAACATCATTATTGACGCTTTATTACTTGGCGCTACCATTTCAACCTTAGACCTTACCTATTAGTCCAGAACAATTTGAAGCATGTTGAAAATGTAGACCTTAATCAGGAATAGGAATTCAATGATGATTTTTGTGTAAAACTGAACTGCTATATCGTCAATAAATGTTATAACATAGACGAATGGTATGTTTCAGGGTTCTCGAAGATCCAGGCTTCAATCTTTGTTTTTCTGGTATCTGCTTTCTTCCACGAGTACCTGGTCAGTGTACCTCTAAAGGTGTTCCGTCTCTGGATATTCCTGGGAATGATGGCACAGGTATCGTCAAATTAATTGATAATTATAACGCAAATCACTTTTGCGAGCTTTTACATTCAGTCTTGAACGCTTCGGTGTTGAAACTTCCCTGTCCAAGCATCAGTCTTCAGACTAAATTTGTTTCTTTGACTTGATAAGATACAGAAAGTTCCATATTGAGAGTGAAACTTCAAACTAATGGAAAGGGCTTCATTTGCAGTGAAATGTTGTAAAAGCAAAACTTTAGAGCTATCAACTGCTCTTTGCAATTTTTGTCGTTTTTTGGTGTGTGTTTCTAAAGCCGGCGTATCCCGAAACCTAACTTATTCTACCTTTTTCTCCCTAAAAAGTTGAGGAGAATGTTTTGACAAAATTTGGAAAAATAATTTTAAAATACAGTTTTTTATTTTGCTTTTTTTGCATTGATTACTGTGGTCTAAACATTCTATGCGACTTGCACAGTAGTCAGATAACCTTGTTCACATACGTGTATTGTTTGTATAGGTTCCTCTGGCAGTTGTGTCAATGCGACTGACGGCTAGGCAGGGCAACATTCTCATGTGGCTCAGTCTCATAATGGGCCAACCAGCTGTAGTCTTCATGTACTACCACGACTATTACGTCACACATCTACTCACCCCAGCCAATACATAATAATTACACCATCAAAATCAACTCGTGGTAGAAAATCAACAATCAAACCAGATCAAAAATATATCAAGTTAACAGCATTGCCATCAAAACGTGATCACAACTAGCAGCTCGTGATCGAATTATAACAGGCGAGAATTATAATTGCTCCTACATGTGATCAAAAGTGCCAGAAACTGAAATCATTGCTATATTCACGTGACAACGATATAAGAAACAGAAAATTTGCAGACAACTACAAAAAATATCAGGGTCAATTTAGAAATGACATAACCATTTAGTGTTAGATAATAAATCGCATCGTTAATTAATGCCATGTTTGGTGGGATGTGTAAAGAATTGATAATTTATCAATTAATATGGATATTAAAATGATACAGTGAAGGCTAATATGAAATAGCTTTTTTATTTAATGCTTTCATCGTATAAAAAAGAATACATTGTCGTACTTGAGCTTGTTTTGCATCGAGACCATCACAACATCTCGTTCTTCATTTTCCTTTACTCTTGCTGTGCTCTATATTCGGGTGCTTGTTGAAATATATTTATAAATAGATTTCGAGTATCTGTATAATAAGCTGGAAAAATAGGTTTTTAATTTTATTTTTGATAAAAGATTTGTTTTCGTCGCATCCGCTTATCATTTTTGTTCAGTTGCATGTTTCGACCAGCAGTTTTGGCTTTAGTATAAGTTGTCTCTGGTGTTTTGTCACAGGCGAAGTATCGATTTGCATAAGTCTCGATGGCTGGAAACTTCAATTTTAGTCTTACTTTAGAACATTTATTGCATATAATGATACAAGGAAACGCTTGCGTTTTAATACGATTTCTTTTTTTTTACAGGATAGATCTCACAATTAAGTGTTCAATTATTGTGCTTAATTTCACGTTTTTCTGCGCTAAATATATGTGGCGATTTAATAGCGTATGTTTCAGACTTTTTACACCATCGGGCGTAGTGTCATATTACAATTTCACTTTCCAACCCAAGTCACAAATATAATTCCTGTTTGATTTATTAAAGAGGTATTATGAAAACGTTTTTTTTTTCCAGATGAGATCTGGTTTTTTTTTTTTTTTTTTTTTTTTTTGAGACGCTTTTTCGAAAAATTCGCTTTCCCAAAAAACTACCCGTCAGATTCTCATAAAAGTGGTAACAAAGGATTCAGTAGCGTTTCACCTACCTGCCTGCATGAAATTTAGGGCAATTTTTACCCTACCCCACCCCCTACGGTCTTAGAAAAGCTTCACAACTCGGTACTTTTTTCACTTTTTGCCCATTTTTTCGGAAATTTTCGATTTCCTCAAAAACTACCCGTCCAGATTTAATATTAAGGGTTAAATCGATAGACCAGGTTGTAGGAAACTCCCATGCACAAGCAGCTGGTCCCTAATTTGCTTAGGGGAAGAGCTATAGACTTAGGAAAAGTCACTTTTTTTGATTTTTTTGCCTATTTTTTCGGAAATTATCGATTTCCTCAAAAACTACCCAACCAGATTTGGAATTAAGTGTTTAAACTATAGACCAGGTTGTAGGAAACTCCCCCGCACAAGCGGCTGGTCCTTAACTTGCCTAGGGGAAGAGCTATAGACTTAGGAAAAGTCACTTTTTTGGCCTTTTTTCAAATCTTTCCGATTTCCTCAAAAACTACCCGTCCAGATTTGGAATTAAGGGTTTAATCGATAGACCAGGTTGTAGGAACCCCCCCTACACAAACGGCTCGTCCCTAATTTGTCTAGGGGAAGAGGTATACACTTAGGAATAGTCAATTTTTCGGTTTTTAGGCCATTTTTTCAAACTTTTTCGATTTCTTCAAAAACTACCCATCCAGATTTAGGATTAAGGGTTTAATCGGTAGACCAGGTTGTAGGAAACTCCCCTGCCCAAGCGGCTGGTCCTTAATTTTTTTCGGGGAAGTGCTGTACACTTAGGAAAAGTTTTTTTAAAAGTTTTTTGGCATTGGAACAAAGATTCAATATACTTATTGTGTGTATTTTTTAGACAATGGAATCCGCTATGCTTACGTTTTCTCGCTTTTGCTTGGTACTATTGGCTTCGTGTTGAGTTTTTTTGTATGGTTCGAAGAACTCCAACGAAAAGTTGCACGAGTTACGCTAGTTCTCTTTAATCAGGTCGGTTTGTTCCAGAACGTTTTTGTGATGTCAGTTATAGTCAACATATTAGTCATATTTGCAATGCTTGGACAAAATTTAATTAATTCGAAAATTAAAGAGTCGTTAGAAAAATGAAAAATACTTTATTTCATTAATGTTAGCTGGTTTGTGAAACACACATTTCACTTAATTCTAGTGAATAATTATTCACATTGTTGAAGCATTGTGCATATGATTTTATTTTAAATATATTTAGCATGTAACCATGATTGATACGGTTTGCCTTGTCCATCTGGGTCCTCGTCCCGTTCCCCGGGCAGAATTTATTAGAAATTCTGGCGAAGAGATGCACAACAAGGTGACCAACAAGTTGTTTTATTCAATTAATAATTTGCATGCTTTATCGCACTGTGAAAAGCTCGCTTAAGTTTCACTTTAAGGAAGATTTCAATGTTTCCATGATTTTTAAATTACTTACGTTATGTTAATCAATGATGGTCATTAATAGATTTGTAAAGACATGTTCAGTTTGTTGTTTTTCTCTACATCAGGTACGTTCCTCGCCGAATCCTGAGTGATTTCAATCTTCGAAGGAAGATTTCAATGTTTCCATGATTTTTAAATTATTTACGTTATGTTAATCATTGATGGTCATGAATAGATTTGTAAAGACAATTTTAAAATAATCAATATTAAAATAATCAAACAGGTCTCTCCAGCTTTCAGCTGGGCCCCTAGTTTTTTCCAGATGAGATCTGTTTTTTTTTTTTTTTTTTTTTTTGAGACGCTTTTTCGAAAAATTCGCTTTCCCAAAAAACTACCCGTCAGATTCTCATAAAAGTGGTACCAATGGATTCAGTAGCGTTTCACCTACCTGCCCGCTTGAAATTTAGGGCAATTTTTACCCTACCCCACCCCCTACGGTCTTAGAAAAGCTTCACAACTCGGTACTTTTTTCACTTTTTGCCCATTTTTTCGGAAATTTTCGATTTCCTCAAAAACTACGCGTCCAGATTTCGGATTAAGGGTTTAATCGATAGACCAGGTTGTAGGAAACTCCCATGCACAAGCGGTTGGTCCCTAATTTGCTTAGGGGAAGAGCTATAGACCAAGGAAAAGTCACTTTTTTGATTTTTTTTTGCCTATTTTTCGGAAATTATCTATTTCCTCAAAAACTACCCATCCAGATTTGGAATTAAGGGTTTAATCGATAGACCAGGTTGTAGGAAACTCCCCTGCCCAAGCGTCTGGTCCTTAATTTGTCTCGGGGAAGAGCTGTACACTTAGGAAAAGTTTTTTTAAAAGTTTTTTGGCATTGGAACAAAGATTCAATATACTTATTGTGTGTATTTTTTAGACAATGGAATCCGCTATGCTTACATTTTCTCGCTTTTGCTTGGTGCTATTGGCTTTGTGTTGAGTTTTTTTGTATGGTTCGAAGAAGTCCAACGAGAAGTTGCACGAGTTACGCTAGTTCTCTTTAATCAGGTCGGTTTGTTCCAGAACGTTTTTGTGATGTCAGTTATAGTCAACATATTATAGTCATATTTGCAATGCTTGGACAAAATTTAATTAATTCGAAAATTAAAGAGTCGTTAGAAAAATGAAAAATACTTTATTTCATTAATGTTAGCTGGTTTGTGAAACACACATTTCACTTAATTCTAGTGAATAATTATTCACATTGTTGAAGCATTGTGCATATGATTTTATTTTAAATATATTTAGCATGTAACCATGATTGATACGGTTTGCCTTGTCCATCTGGGTCCTCGTCCCGTTCCCCGGGCAGAATTTATTAGAAATTCTGGCGAAGAGATGCACAACAAGGTGACCAACAAGTTGTTTTATTCAATTAATAATTTGCATGCTTTATCGCACTGTGAAAAGCTCGCTTAAGTTTCACTTTAAGGAAGATTTCAATGTTTCCATGATTTTTAAATTATTTACGTTATGTTAATCAATGATGGTCATTAATAGGTTTGTAAAGACATGTTCAGTTTGTTGTTTTTCTCTACATCAGGTACGTTCCTCGCCGAATCCTGAGTGATTTCAATCTTCGAAGGAAGATTTCAATGTTTCCATGGTTTTTAAATTATTTACGTTATGTTAATCATTGATGGTCATGAATAGATTTGTAAAGACAATTTTAAAATAATCAATATTAAAATAATCAAACAGGTCTCTCCAGCTTTCAGCTGGGCCCCTAGTTTTTTCCAGATGAGATCTGTTTTTTTTTTTTTTTTTTATTATTATTTTTTTGAGACGCTTTTTCGAAAAATTCGCTTTCCCAAAAAACTACCCGTCAGATTCTCATAAAAGTGGTACCAATGGATTCAGTAGCGTTTCACCTACCTGCCCGCTTGAAATTTAGGGCAATTTTTACCCTACCCTACCCCCTACGGTCTTAGAAAAGCTTCACAACTAGGTACTTTTTTCACTTTTTGCCCATTTTTTCGGAAATTTTCGATTTCCTCAAAAACTACGCGTCCAGATTTCGGATTAAGGGTTTAATCGATAGACCAGTTTGTAGGAAACTCCCATGCACAAGCGGTTGGTCCCTAATTTGCTTAGGGGAAGAGCTATAGACTTAGGAAAAGTCACTTTTTTGATTTTTTTTGCCTATTTTTTCGGAAATTATCTATTTCCTCAAAAACTACCCATCCAGATTTGGAATTAAGGGTTTAATCGATAGACCAGGTTGTAGGAAACTCCCCCGCACAAGCGGCTGGTCCTTAACTTGCCTAGGGGAAGAGCTATAGACTTAGGAAAAGTCACTTTTTTGGCCTTTTTTCAAATCTTTCCGATTTCCTCAAAAACTACCCGTCCAGATTTGGGATTAAGGGTTTAATCGATAGACCAGGTTGTAGGAACCCCCCCCCCCTACACAAATGGCTCGTCCCTAATTTGTCTAGGGGAAGAGCTATACACTTAGGAAAAGTCAATTTTTTGGTTTTAAGGCCATTTTTTCAAACTTTTTCGATTTCTTCAAAAACTACCCGTCAGATTCTCATAAAAGTGGTACCAATGGATTCAGTATCGTTTCACCTACCTGCCTGCATGAAATTTAGGGCAATTTTTACCCTACCCTACCCCCTACGGTCTTAGAAAAGCTTCACAACTAGGTACTTTTTTCACTTTTTGCCCATTTTTTCGGAAATTTTCGATTTCCTCAAAAACTACGCGTCCAGATTTCGGATTAAGGGTTTAATCGATAGACCAGTTTGTAGGAAACTCCCATGCACAAGCGGTTGGTCCCTAATTTGCTTAGGGGAAGAGCTATAGACTTAGGAAAAGTCACTTTTTTGATTTTTTTTGCCTATTTTTTCGGAAATTATCTATTTCCTCAAAAACTACCCATCCAGATTTGGAATTAAGGGTTTAATCGATAGACCAGGTTGTAGGAAACTCCCCCGCACAAGCGGCTGGTCCTTAACTTGCCTAGGGGAAGAGCTATAGACTTAGGAAAAGTCACTTTTTTGGCCTTTTTTCAAATCTTTCC